ATCTATTAAAAGCTATTATTAGCTATTATAAGCTAAAATAACACATTTTCTGTATGAATTATTTAATATTAGAAAAAAAAAATCTGTCCCATCTAGTTTTTTCCTCAAATCATTTATGCATGTGACAAAACCTGGAAGATCACAATGTCTAAACAAACCAAAAACCATTGTCATTTGGTTCAGTTTTGTCTAAAAAAAAATGTAGTAACTTTCTGTTTTCACAAGTTTCCTATCACACTGAAAATGTTAAAAATAAAATATATAAATTCATCATAAGTTTTATTAATCTTGTAGAAATAAATAATTATTATGAAGGTGGAAAAAAAAAGGAAAATATTTCTCTTGGAAAATTCTGTTAGATCATTACTGGGAACTTAAATGTTGAGGTCAATCATGAATCGAAAAATACCCAATATCAAATGTTCTTTCCAAGCCTGTATGCACTTTGATCTAGTTTATATTCAAGTGAACTTGTTGACTAATGTGATCATAGCTCTTGATTAAAGGTAATAAAAAAAAAGTGTATGTAATAACAGAAAAACAAGAAAAATTTTTTATAAGTAGCCCTAGGGGCTTTTATAAGAAGAATTAAAAACATGCACACATGTATATATATAACAAACATATACATGTGACATGAGTAGTTAATCTGATAGCTCAACACCAACTTTAGTTGACTTACATTTACTAAAAGGTGGTCTACCAGGCCAGCCCCTACTTTAAAACAACTTAAAGTAAACAGTTTAAAAGACAGAAAGAGACAAACATAAGGTTGCATATACTTTAATTTTTTTTATGAAAATGATATCTAGGCTACAAAAAAAACTACAAGTGCAAGCCCGTTAAAGTGATTAAGCAATTAATAAGCATTCTTCAATACCACCCATTCTCCAGTACTTGATGCTTTATTATGTAATGGTCAGTGACCCAAAATAACGCATGAAACTGTAGTGGAGCATCTCATAATAATTTCCCTAATTAGTTAAATGAACAATATTATGTATATATTGCATCTATCTGTCAAAGAGCATACTAATATTTTTTTTTTAGAGAAAAATAACCCTATTTAAAAAAAAAACGGTTTTTTTTATTAACCTACTGCAGAGGACAATTCTATAAGCAATAAATAAGATATTTAAAAACACACCACTTACCTTGTGGTCAGTTCTTTTAAGAAACTTAGAGAAGTATCCTTTAGTACAAGTTCCTTGCTATTTAAGATTGTTACTGATGATCTTAAGCTTCCAAGAAGAATGCCGATTCCACCCTCGCTGTTGCTACCACTGAAGATTTAGCATATACAATAATGCATCTTTAAGAATCATGCTCCAAAACACTACACAAAACATTTTACTACTTTAAAAGTATTTCTGTTTTAATACCCAATGATGGCCTACTCCATATGATGACTGACACTTATTCACAGGATATTACAGTTAAATATGAATAACAAGAGTACATGTCTATATAAAATTTAAAGAAAAAAAGCTTTGTATTTATTGGATATACATTTCACAAAGAAAATATTTAAATACCTTATATTATAAAGTGAAAAAAAATTCATTTACACATACTCACAAATTAAATTATGCATTGTAATTGACAAATTACCATTTAACAGCAATTATAGCACTATAGTTAGATATGGTTATCAAAGCATTTATTAACCCTTTCACAACGGGAGCCCCATTAAAAACTTTTCTGCGCAAGTTACTGTGTTACATTCAAAACTTAATTAAACACCTTTACTATCAACGTATGCAAATTAAATTAATGTTATAATGTACATTATGATTCAAAGTTTTAAGTCCTTTATTTGAAAATAAACCTCTAAAACTACTAAAAACTTCAGATGTATTGTCATGTGACCAACAAGCTATGAAAATCCTCTACTTTGTCCTTCTGTATCTTCTATAATACAATGGAAGTTGAGTACAGGTAAGTCTAGATAATAAGTTGCTTACATAACCTGACTCGTTCATTTCAAAGTTCTCCGAATGAATACAGTTGAAACAAGTAATTCATTTTTTCAACCCAACAGGTGCCATGCCCACTTTCAACAGATTTGTTTGAGCTTTATAGCCTACATGTAAATGTTACATACACATGTACATTTATTAGAAAGAGATCATTTTATACTATAATCTAACAATGGTTATTTTGAAATTGGCATCCCTAAGTACATGTAATTGACTAGTATTGTTGGCTGCATGATCGACTATAGCACTTACAGTTGTTTCTTACCTAAATATGCTATAGTTAGAGATAGAGTTTAAATTGTATTTAGATCTTACTATTATATTTCAGTTAATTATGTAATAGTTATGTTTTAAAATGCATTGACTAAAAGGTTTATTAAACATTTTCTAAATATATTTCATACTTTGCATCCATTCTCAAGGCTTATGGTATTACATGCTGAACAAAAATTGCCAAAAGGTTGAGCATATCTCCCAAAGAAACTGTAATATGCCTTGAGGGCACGGTTGACTTGCGTCAAAATGAATAATAGGTTTTGAAGGACAAGAAATATAAAACATTAAAAATTAACTATATGTGAAAAGGAAAAGACCTGAAATTAAGAACTTAAAAGGAAAATCTTTAAAGATATTCTACAAAAAATTAAACGTACGTATATATTTTTTTCCTATTTCCTAATTTTAATTATTTCATTGAATTGTACATTGATGATAATAGCTAGAGTAAGTGATATGGTAGAGAAAATGATAAAATTTAAACATTTACCTTGAAAAATATTTGGTATTTACTTAGGAGGTTCTAGAGAATATGGAAATGTAATATGAAAACTATAAGTTGAAGAAATATATTTTTATACTTAAAATGAAAATCATCTTGCATGTGATTTGTTAATAGTTTGAATGCAAGTAACTACAATAAAAAATAATATATTTTTAGTAAAAACAATTATAGCATCATTTTTTGTGTACAAGATTCTTATGATCTTTAACAAAATATTACCAGTTTTTGAATGGATTTGTTGAAGAAATTTCAGAGTTATCGCATGTATTGTTGTACAAGTGAAATTCGAGACTCACTTTCTGCAAATTGCACAAGCCCGCCAGGAAAGAGTTAAGTAGAATACAACACTAGATTCCATACTATCTTTATCATAACTAAATACAATGCAAACAAAATAAAACAAATCTTTACAAATTAATACACTGTTCTAACCAAGAAAATTAAAGTACTGTTATATAATGCACTTATATAATATTACAACAGTACATTAAGAGACATACCTTTGTAACAATTTAGCTCCTTCTCGTTGAACTTCAACCAGCTGTTCTGAAACAGGAAAATTAAGAGAGCTTTTAAGGACATGAAGAAGGCTTTTGTTTCCTCCAGGCCCATTAATACCATCAGATTCTGTCCCAGTGATTAATTTGATTGATTTTAACAAGAGCTCTTGAGCTAGTTTATAGTTCTGTTGTTTTCTGGCTAGTCTTGCAGCTGCTAACTGAAGGCCACTAACACAACTCACTTGTGGCTTAATACCTTGCTGCTTTGCTGCCACATGGCTCCACACATTAGTCCAAGACAGAGAGTGAGTCAATACAGCTGTACTAACATCTGCTGGGTTCAAAGAATGGTCAGCACTTAGCAGTGCAGGGGAGATCTGAAAATATGGATAAAAGAACCATTATCATTATTAAAAAAAGCTCATTCGTCAATTTAACCTTGCAATTAAGATTATTATATTTTTTTTTACTGATTACTGTAAAATTTTATGGTCCATGCCATAAAAAAGAAAAGACTTATTGAAAGTAATCTAGTTATTACAAATTGTTTAAACCATCCAATAATAACCTTTTCCAACATAATTATACATAAAAAAATGTGTCTAACTGTTACAAGATTACAAGCAACATTTTTTTTTTTCTTATCTTCTCCCTTGAGCTAATGGATGAGTAAGTCACTCAACAATTTGTGTAACTTTAATTTTACAAAAAGAAAAATCATTCCAAGTTTCATGTTTAACAAGTATACAAACCGTGAAATTGAAGGACTTTTTAAAAAATAATTTAGGGATTGCCAGTCAGACTTCAAGGACCCAAGACTAGATGTATACCAATACCACCTTTTAGTTCAATACTACTTACACTTTCCGATGACTAGATAATGATACTATGAAAAATACTAAATAGCTAATAGTAAAGCATCTGGATAGTAGATAATATGCATAGCATAATACAAAAATTATTTCTCAAATAACACATGCACATCTTTGCAATTTGCCCTTTTCAAACTTTAATTACAGCAAAACAATGGGTGTAAAAAATATCTACTTCAGTGTTGCAGTTAGCAAGGTCAATAATTTACACATTTACCATTTACAAGCCATAAATTAATTATAACCACATTACCAGAACAACTAGATTTGAGCATTGGAATTATTTTTATTTTACTGTTTCATCTTTTAAACAAGGAAACTAGTTGCCAAATCAACATACAACTAAGTTGGATTTAGCAGAAATCTACATTTCAGACAGATTTAACTTTAACAAAATGTATGAAATTAACACATCAGTTAAGGAGTAGACATTAAAGTTTGCTCAACTGTGTAATTAAAAAGTCTATCCAGTAGCATAGTAATACATACTGAACACAAATTTATATGTATTATGGTAATGTTTGATATGTATAAATAATAAAGTATGAAACAGACAAAATGATTTTGAATTCTTTCAGTGACTATAATAACAGGTAGTTTTCTTAAGTTAAAATCAGACTTTTTCTCCCAAGATATTTAATAACAGTAATACAAATTAACCTAAAATTCCTGAACTCTTGCACTTATTTCAGACGTTGGGTGGTTGGAGCCTTTATATGGTAGAAATAAAAACTGGGACCATTAGCTTTCCATTTTGTCTATTTAACAATGATTTTGTGATCTTTATTTTCTTAACCCATTTTAGAATAACAGTTGCTGTTAGTTTTCAGAAATCAATCAAGAAAACGTTTCAGCATAAATTATTAGGTCACAGCTTGAGTTCCATACATCTGTGTGCAATTTCTTGATTGTCAAGTTAATAATGGTCATGTGAGTGTTATATAGGAAAGTATGTTTATTTAAAGAACTTAATTTTATGAATTACAATGCAACAATAAGTGAAGAGTTTTTCACAAACAGAATGTCGCTTGTTCATCAACTGTCAACTTTTACTAGAAGTTAACAGTTTCAAGGATTTTTTCCATAATTTCACCAGTAGAACACATTTTTTTAAAAGTTTAAGGTCTTGATTCAATAAAAAGCAATTTCAACGTTTCCAAGCACCTATTCAAAAGCTAATGTTCAAACAAATAATTTAAGTAAAATGGAACAGTGTGATAAGCAAACACACCATGCACTTTCAGATAGTAATACAGAAAATTAACTTGGGCAGCAGTAATCAAATGTAAACAAAGCAAGTTTCTGCTATGCAGAAACATGCCGAGAATCTGAGCTAGGGGCTGTAGGGGGGGTGCTTAAATATATAATAAACAAAAATAGTAATAATAATAATTTTAAATTTTCAGTTATATTTATGTGCATCTACTCAGATGGGTTTTGGGGTAAGACAAAACATCAAAAGACTTGATACAGAAAAAAAAAAGCTAAGCAAAATTTATTTGTTTTTATTAATATTTCTTTATTTTACTTTTTATTTTTGTGGTTTCTACCCTCATGACACGGTTTTTTGAATGTGGGTGCCAAAGACTTTGCAGCCAAAAGTGGTAACTTCTCTCAAATTTAGCAGTAATTCCTCCAAATTTTCTAACTTTTTGTTTTAATACAGGCTGATGTATAGTCTCCATCTAACATGTGGTCAAGAAAGTCATTAAGTTCCTTTTGCTCTAGTTATTTACTGTTCTGTGTCATTCTCCAGACATAACACCTTGTCACCAGTAGAGAAAAAAAAGATACCTTTTAAGCTGTACATTTTATATAAAAGTGGTCATCAGTTTTCTCCATTGGCCAATCAAGTGATATCTCTATTATTTTCAATAAGAATAACCAACAATGACATAGGTGGCACATGCAAATTGAGAGGTACAGTATCATACATTTGTGAATATATATAATGCTAGGCTCTCTCAAACTCAAGCCATCAGTTTGGTAAGTTTTAAGTTTTATTTGAATAGTAATACTCTTCAAAAGTTTAACACAAAGTTAAATAATTTTTAATAAGTCTCTTCATAAAGTTTTTAGAAGAGTTTAGAGAGTTAAATACCTAGTAAAGACACTGTCTTATGTCTTGTGGCATTGTTTAACTGATTGTTTTAAATAATTTTCACTGTATGTTTTATATTCTGTCCAGTCTCTTCCTAACTTGAAAACAGAGAATTTAGAATTAATTAGTTACATATTTCTTGTCTAAATCGCTCATTATTCTGTGGACCTACTTTATCCATTCTTGGGAGAAATTAGTTTTACCATATTTTGAATATTATTTTTAGAATTTTATCTGCTAAACACTGTTGGAAGGCATTTGTAAATCTTACAGAAAATATTTAATATCTGTCTGAAGAATCTTATTATACATGAAGAGATAGAGATAAGGGGAGAAACACATGCATTACTATTCTTATACAAGTTAACTGACATGATAAGCATAATATCTGAAAAGAGAGATTTGGTTTAACACTTTATTCAAAATGTTGATCAACTATATACTCTAAAACATTTTTCTATAACAAGACCTTAATATCAACAGAACTGAACAACATACTTTACGGCCATCCTGCAAAAGTGAAGAGAAAGCTGCAGCCTTAACATGAAGAGCAGCTTGACTAGGGTAGACGTAAGGAGGCCATTCCATAGCTGATGTCTGGAGCAAGCCTACCAGCAAGTCTTTTGATTCTTTGACCCGAGTACTGATTTTCTCTCTAGATTAAAGATAATAAAAGAAAGAAAATGTAACCAAAAACAATCAATACACATTGAAAATTTCCTTCATAAGCATAAATCGATTTATGTTGAACGTCTGTTATCTTGAATGATTGGTAAATTTCACAAATGTATATATATCGATATTGTTGAAACAGCTGTACATAATTTCTAAGAGTATTACAGAATCAACTTTGACAATTACAATATATTGAGATAAACACTATTTATATTAGGTTTAATGGTATAAAAGGCATATGAGTACATAATGCCTTTCAACAAAGGCATGATGTTATTATGCTGTGATAGCATTTTGTTAATAAGCATGTGTTAAAATTTACTTTTAGGCCAACAGTTTTGAGCTTTTTACATAATAGTGTGTGCAATATAGTATACATATATACCAGGTAATGATTTTTTATTTCATTATATATTGTAAATTTAGTAAAAAATATTGAACAAAGTTTCAAAAGTGTTCAGCAGTTCATCAAGCTTTGTGTTTTGACAAGTCTGTATTTCTAATATACTTTCAATTATGAGTTATGCTTTATATGAATACAAATGCAGAAGTGGCTAAAATGATTCCACTCAGCTGGATAAGGTTAAAGTTTAATGATGCTTTTTTCTTAAAGCAGGCATTTTTTAACAGTTAAGGTAGTTCTTGACTTCTACAGCTATAGCTGGTGTAAAATAAATACAACTGATATTAACAGTTTAAAGTGTTATAATATTACACAGTTAACATCCTAAAGAGGACAATAATAGAGTAAGAAGAAACTGATACAAACAACACATACACATGTAATTTCATTCCTTTTGTAATAAGGTTTAGAATGCAAACTGAAATTCCTCAAAATACTTTATGAATGAGGAACTAAAAGCAATTGGTCTCATAACAACCGATTACAACTTTAAATTCAGACAAAAAAAAAGAACTCACTATTAACTCAAACAGAATGAAGAAGATAGCTAGCTCTACCCCATCTTCATTTGAATGATGACATGCCTCTTAACAATTGTAACTCAATCTCAAGAATAACCTTTTAAAACTTGGAAGACAAATTCTTTTCAAATGCATATTAGCAACTTTTGTAATAATTGGTAAATAAAAGCTGATTTTTTTTTATTGTTGATAAGAAAGTTATATTTTGTATACCATCAATTTCAATTTAATTGAAATCTACTAAAATATTTCTTTGAAATTTTACTTTGCTGATTGCAGTAAAAATTGTAAAAAAAAAGTGAAAACTGACAAAGGTTTATCAATGACCTGACCTTTCACATTGGCATCACCTTTGTCACTCTAGGTAATAATATTTATCAACAGTATTCTTGGCCTAGATCAGTCTATATCTAACAAATAGTTTCTTTTCAATATATAACAAGTTCTTTACTTATTTACATAGTTTAAATACAACAAACTTAATTATAATACCGAGTTAGTAAGGATTTGTGTCACTGGAATATTTTGTCCTCACTTACCATACTTGCTAAACTTAGCTATGCTCACTTAATGTCTTGTCATAGAAGAAAATGTCAGTAGCTTTCAATAAGGTATAATTCAACACACAAACATTTTCAGGAACAAGAAGAATGTCTAAAAAAACTATTAAAAAATTATCAAATGTGTAGTTTGTTCCTAAATCTTTGTTCATCTCTATGGAGCTCCATATAATCCATTTTACCATGAAACCATAAATTACTGCTCAAACCACTTTACTTATTCTACATTAACATAAATAATTTATAATCTGCTCAATCCAATGTTATTTTAACTTTCCTTTGCTTTTAGCTATTTTCAAAGCTATGTTTCATTCGTGATTGCTTAGATCTCATGTTCTCACATCTTAAAGATGTGTGAACAATGGGTTATAAATAATGAAACCACTAACAGAGAAGGAAAATCATAAGAGAGAAACAAGACATGGCTAATTATATTCTCAAGGACGAATGTTTTTTAGCAAATGAACTTTTGCCTGAAGATGGGTAGAAAAATTACTTTAAAAAGAACATTAAGTTCAAATATTTTTTATTTCAAGGTACACACTAAACAGATGTTAGAAAACAATAAAATAATTGAGTTATAAACTGTTGAAAAAAAAAAGTTTGAATTTTTATTTTTAATTAATTTAAAATTTGATATGCAGAAGTCACTCAATGCCTGAAAAGTACTTTCTGGTTTGGATAGTATTAATTATAATTACATCAATTTCAAGAAATGCTAATGTATAATGTGCTTACATCTCCAAAGTTTCATTCTTGTCAACTTTCAAAGATTCCAAAGCTGAATTTAACAAGATTTTCTCTGCTTTATGAAACTGCTGTTCCACATCCCATCCAAGAGATGTCAGATCCATCTGGTCACCACTAAAAAAATCCTTCAAAGATTTATCACTACTTGGTGATGAAGTTCCAAGCCCTCCTTCAAAAACTGAGAGAGTTCTGTAAAATATTTTTCAATTAAATTTCATCTTTAAACTCCAGCTGATTTCACATTTAACAGCTTTCTAATACATTGTTTTAAAATCAAATATTAGTTCTTTTCCGAGAACTGTACTAAAGTTAATAATTGTTATATTCTAGTAGTCTATAATTTATTACCTAAAAACTATAAAGAATGTTTTCTTCTACCAGATAAATTCCATACTGTAATAAAATAAAATTGGTTTAGCCCTTTTACAAACAAAACCTCTTTAACCAAAGACCTGTGGACGTAACAAATACAATTTTATGCCATCAAACATTTACAATAAGCTGCTAAATGTTGTACTACAAAAACTCATTTGATTTCCGCTGACATACAGCTTTAACAAGTTACAGATTAATTCAAACCTGACAGCCTTACAAGATCACACACAAAACTTATAAACTAGTTAAATTCTATATTTTCGTTAATTATCCACTTTTCTTTGTTCCAAATCACACATTGTTCATTATAAACAAAACTGTTTTTAATTGAGAATTTAATCCAATGCTTACTACATTTTTATTGAATCAAATGAAGAGTGGGACAACAATAAACTGAAAGGTAAAATCATTCATCGGGCAATGATTATTTATCCAGTAGCTATTGTTGACTTGTATTAAAAATTTCATTTGTCTTTTAATAATTTATCTCCCCACCTTGATATAACTTGTGTAGTTTTTTTCAGTAGTGGTCTATTGATTTTCAAATAAAAAGTAAGAAACTGAAACAGTTACTCATTTATTAACATAGTATTTATCATTATTTTATTTTGAAAAAATTAATTATTTGTTTCAAACATCTAGCAGTTTATCTTGTCAATAAAAAGTCAACTTACTTGATGTAGTCTATATCCTCATCTGAGAAAAACTGAGGAAAAGTTAAACCATTCTTGTTATTTATCTGCTTCTGAGCTTCAATCCACTGCTTGACTTCAGCCCAGTTTCCTAGGTTCTTATAGCATTCTGTGATCTGTATAACAAACAGACCAAGAGCTCATATTTACTTCTTTATTTATACTGTAGTTCACATGATTTTGGAGCATTTACTTTTTCTTCTCAATTTAAGTGTTTTCAAAATGAAAGAATAAATTTTCATAGAAATGATTTTACAATTTCTACAAATGGAAAACTTTAGTTACTGAGAAAATGAAATGAGTTAAAATGGATGAAAAACTACTAATGCTGTTATTAACAGTATCCTGACTACAGCTTTCAGCACATTTTTTCATTCTTGTGTGTCTTTTACACTTTCTTTTTGTAGTGCAAGTATTTATGTTTATGGTTACAAGTGATTTGTGAATGAACAGAGTAACACCAAAGAATTTGTTTCTTAACCATTTTAACATTAAATATTACTAACACATTATACTTTGCATTACTATATCTTTATATTTCACTTATTTCATAACAAATCAAAGTATAGTATGAGAATATTACTTATTTAAAAAAATAAACATTTCAGAAAAATGTAGATGCTTTGAAGTTGCTTAGTTGCTTTTAAAATACAAGTTTATATTCAAGCCTAAATCATAAGCCTGTGCCAGCCACTGACATATTCTGAACATAGCTAACAGAAATTTTTCTATCTGTTAAATTTTGCACTTAGACAAAACCATGTAAAATATCCTTGTAATTCTAATTTTAATAGGTTAAGATGTTAGGCAGGTGGCTAAAAAAAGCTATATCTCTACTGTATTTTTTTTACAAACATATAATCATGAAAAAAGGTTCACACACAATGTGTAAGAATATAATGAAGTCTTGTACTTATGTTAACAGTTAAAAAAAGACGACTTGAAATGCTTGATAAGTTTAGTTGTAAGAATTGCAAATAGCCATGCGTGCATGCACAAACACTCACATGCACACTGAAAGGGCAGAAGTTATATACAAGGTGTCAAACTATCATTGGATTATGAGATTCAAAATTTCATTACATAGCATTAAATCCTCAAAGTTTTCAAAAATGCTTTGATAGTTTGACTCTAAGGACTAAGGAAATGTATAAAAAAAAACTAAAATTTTTCCTACACAATTCCTACACAAACTAGTTAATATTTTGTAATGAACACTTACCATACGAAGTAAAAATGACTGTAGAAAATAGCCACTGTCTTTTCTGGATACAGGTCCACCTTTGTACTGTAAATGTTGCAAAGCTGCTGTCATAAAGTCATCATCATCTCCATAAATACCTCCATCTTCACTACATGATAGTTTGGCCTTTTCCACTTCTTCAGGTAGGTCTCCCACAATTGTACTTTCTGCAGTTTCAGTAGATGAATATTTGTCATTTTCGAATTTTTCTGACACTTCACCCAGAGTACTAAGTTTACAGTTTACAATATGAGACGTATAATCTGTATTCATTGTTTGATACAAGTTGTTGAAACCCTGGACAGCCATTTCATACCTAACAAATACAGACAAAATATGTTAAGTTGTAGCAACCTGCACAAATACATATTTCGAATATATATTCTCAAAAAACTTGTAGGCATTCTCTAGACTAAAATTTAAAGTCACAATACACCATTTACAGTCCATAACATTTTTTTTTTTCCCCCTCACACAGGTCACCACCTTAAAAGCACTTTTTACTTAACTAAACTCACCAGCATGTCTAGATTTGTAATGTTCATTAATCTATCAAAAATCATTTTTTGATACAATAATAATAAATGCAATTTTAAGTAAAAATATCTCAACTAATATAACTGAGCAAGTTGAAAAGAGACTTGGATATGAAATTCTAATTCAACAAGTTTCAGTTTTAAACTGTGTAATAACATTACTAGAGTAAAATATATTTGTCCAAAAACAAAAAAGGGGTACCACCACCAACTGCCCACATTATAATTAAATCTAAATTAAAAAATGTGACAACCCATGTAAAACATAAAACTGTCTGTAAAAACAAAGTTCATCAAACACAAAACTAGTTCTCAATCTACAGGATGTACTTTGTTTTTTGCTACGATCCTTTCAAATGATACTAATATATAATTATATGCTTGCTGCACACACATTGATGAGAAACTACAGAAAATATGAGGTGATTAAGTAATATACACTGCAGCAACACCAAAGAATAATCACTGACAATGAATGATACACTAACATGAAAGAAATAGCACTCAATTGAATTGCTGCAAGTAAAATGACAACCAATCGTACTAAGGGGACCTTATTTATTTTTTGATGTTTTCTGATACATATTTAATGGCCAGCAATGTATTTAATTGTAAAAACCATAAACTTACTTCCCAGCTGCATGATCCACAGCTGTCTTTATCCATAAATATTTCTTTCCCAGTTTTTCTTTAGCCCAAGTGTATAAACCAAGTATAGGTTCAGGACATCGTAGCATCATGAGAGCTTGGACAACAAGGACAAGGGTTCTTTCAAAATCTCCACTCTAGAAAATACAACCATTTTGGCTACAAGTTCACATAAAGCGTTGAAAACATGCATGTATTTCTTCAGTATTCTGTGATCAAATCCCCAAAAACATTTGACATTATGATGACAGAATTATTTCTGTTGTAACGATCATGTTTGGACATAAATGTAGAGTAGTTAAATTGTACGTTTATCTTTAATGTCACAAAAGCAATACCCTTTCTTCAACCACAACATGTATAATGACTATTTCTAAAGTTCAAGAGCAAGTTTAAAAATACAATTCACTACTTTTTTTCATAATTATGTGGAGAAAATATTACTTGAAAAAAAAGATGTCTGGTGTTAAAAAAAATACATGAGCAGTGACAAATGAAAAGTTTTTCTGGACCACTATTTCTATAGAAACAAAAAAGTAGGAATTATTTTATTATGGAGCCATTTAGAAATAAAATTTAGTTCTAGTGGGTGGCTAGGAATTAAGTACTATTGAGTTTTAACATTTAATATTTTAGTACTGCTAAAATTTTTCTAAATTGTTTAACTGCTAAATATTTTACTGTGCAACGTGCAACAGTGAAGTTGTGGCTGGTACATTAAAGCCACTTCAAGTAATTGTTTGTGCAAATCACTGAATAAGTATAAAAAACAAAATCTTTAAGAATTTCAATCTATCAGTATTTTTCACCCTACTCCAAATACTGACTAAAACATTTCAATGAATTTGAACAGACTTAAGTACTCAAAATACTATATGTTTAGACTTCTTAAGAATTTTAAAGAGTAATTTGAATGCCATATTTCACAATTTTCAAGCTATTAATTTCTATTCTTTAAAATGAATTAATGGGTAATATTTTTTCTAATGAAGCAAGTGATTATGTTACTTGATAGAACTAATACTTTACAGTTATGTAAAAACTTATGACAGCTTTTCCCAAGTTTTGTTTCACTTGTATTAGAAAAGAACTGAAGGATTTCTTCTATGGCTTTTAAAGCCTATAACATACTATCTGTGAGCTTACAACTTTTACAAGATGAAAAAACAGTAACCTATGTTTTATACTTGTCAATTCATATATTTAACTTCAAATTTATTGCAACTTCTGTTTGGCCTATTACCAGTTACTTCAAAAAATGGTAGCATAGTCAGTTAAACAAAACAGAATATATTCTACTCCTTTAATTTATCTGCTAAAATATCACAGCTTTCACCACTCCAGACTACAAAACCTGCTATCACTATTACAAAAAGTGAAACTTTAAATGTGTACTTTATTTCATTCTGACCAATAGTTCATATTCTTCACTTAAAAACATCTACCCAGAAAATAACCTGTAAATCAGCTTAGACAACTTATTTTTGGGTGACTAATTCTTACCAACATTCATACTTTTATACAGATAACAAGAATACCAGATCAGAAATATTGTTATCACTACTTCAATAGTAAAATTACTTTTGTTTCATTTTTGCCAACAATTTAAATCTTTCACATATCCCAATTACATTATGCCAGAAAGAC